TATTTATTTCCTTCTGCCTTCTTTTGGTTCCTTTTGTTGGTCATTTGTAAGATCTTAAGCTATAATTTTATTTATGTACGTCTTTCTTCCTTCCTGAGAAATTCTTGCAGCGCTATAAATTTTCCCCTTACCATGGCTTTAGCTGTGTCCCACACTTTCTGTTAGCTCGTCTATTCATTCTCATTTGTTTCCAGGTATCTTTTGAGTTCTTCCTTGATTTCCTCTCTGACTCACTCAATCAACAATGGGTTGTTTAATTTCCAGGAGTTTGATTTGATTCTCTGTTTCTTTGCGTAATTAACTTCTATCTTCAGTGTATTGTGATCTGAAAAGAGAGTTGATACAATTTCTATCTTCCTGATTCTACTGAGGTATGTTTTGTGGCCTAGCACATGTCTGGCTTGGAAAATGTTCCATGTGCACTGGAAAAACCAAATGTGTATTCCGTTTTTAGGGGATAAAAAGCCCTGTATACATCTACTAGCCCTCTCTTCCATTTCTTCTTTCAAAGCCAGTACTTCCTTGGTAAGTTTTGGTCTTGTTGATCTATCAAGAGGTGAAAGGGTGGTGGTGAAGTCTCCAACTACTATTGTGTTGCTACCAATGTCTTCCTTGAATTCTATTAGCAGTTGTTTTAAGTATTTTGCTAGCCCCTTATTGGGTGTGTATATGTTTAGGAGTATGATTTCTTCCTGCTGTACATATCCCTTGATTGTTTAAAAAAAATGCCCTTTACTGTTTCTTCTAATCTTTTGCAGCCCGAAATCTATATTGTCAGATACTAGTATGGCCACGCCAGCTTTTTTGAGGAAGTTGTTTACTTGAAGGATTGTTTTCCATCCTTTGACTTTGAGTGTGTGTTTGCTCTGACTGTTCAGATGTGCTTCTTTTTAGACAAGAGAATATTGGGTTCAGTTTTTTAACCTATTTTACCACTCTGTCTCCTAACTGGCACTTTTAGACCATTGACATTTAAAGAGATTATTGTTGTGGGGTTCTGTGCCATCTTTCTGTAAAAGTTTGTTGCGCATGTAGGGGTTTGTCTTGTTTTACAGTAGCCCCTTTAGTCCTTTTTTTTATAGGAGTACTGCTACTTATTCAGCCACTGATTAGCTGATTGAATTGTGCATGAACTACATCTTACTTTTTTTCCATTTTTTATAATTTTATTTATTGAAGCACCGTGAGAGCAGTTAAAAAGCTTTTGGGTCTAAGTCTCAGTCATACAATGAAACACCCGTACCTTCACCAGTGCCCATTCTCTACCACCAAAAATCCTAGTATAACTCATCCCACACCCACCCCCTGCCTGTGGAGTAGATGATTTCTACATTACTCTCTACTTTGATCACATTCACTATTTCGACACCAGACCCACCGTTATTTGAGATTTTACCCCAACACTCAGATCTGCTGAAAAGGCAACAATAGACAATTTGTGTTCTATTGCTGGTTATGAATAACATATGATGTCGTGTGGCTGCAGTAGGGCCGTGTGGTTTTGAAATTCCGAAATTTTAACACTTAAATCTGGAGGGATTTCTGCCAAAAGCCACTGAGTTTAGAGATCTGCTCCTGAGTCTCTGGGATCATGGTCATTGAGCAGCTTGATGAGGAGCCAGAGAGGCCGTTCATGGGCGATGACTTGGGATCTCGTTGGGGTGGGGAGGACAGGCCCGGCTCCCTCCCCCCCCATCCTGTGAGGCCCAAGTTTCATCACTGCAGGCCCAAGCCTGACTGTCCAATGGCCTCTGGAGGATGACAGCCACCAAGTCGCCAAGAGGGAGCAGGCGGAGGGGCAGCACCCATTCCCCCCTGGGGTGGCCCAGCGACAGTAACCTACTGCGGGGTCCAGACACATTTCTGCCAAAAGCCGCTGGGTTTCTAGATTTGTTTCTGAGTCTCTGGGATCAAGGCCATTGAGCAGCTTGATGAGGAGCCAGAGAGGCTGTTCGTGGGCGATGACTTGGGGTCTCGTTGGGGTGGGGAGGACAGGCCCGGCTCCACCACTCCCCCCCATCCCATGAGGCCCAACAAGTTTCGTCACTGCAGGCCCAAGTCTGACTGTCCAATGGCCTCTGGAGGATGACAGCCACCAAGTCACCAAGAGGGAGCAGGCGGAGGGACAACACCCTTTCCTCCCTGGGGTGGCCCGGCGACAGTAACTTACTGTGGAGTCCGGATGCATTTCTGCCAAAAGCCACTGGGTTTTGAGATTTGTTTCTGAGTCTCTGGGATCATGGCCATTAAGCAGCTGGATCAGGAGCCAGAGAGGCCATTCGTGGGCGATGACTTGGGGTCTCGTTAGGGTGGGGAGGACAAGCCCGGCTCCACCCCCAACCCGTGAGGCCCTGTGTGTCTCGTCACTGGGGGCCCAAACCTGACTGTCCAGTGGCCTCTGAAGGATGGCGGCCACTGGGCCGCCAGGGGGAACAGGCCAAGGCATGAAACCTATTCCCACCTGGGTTGGCCCAGCACCGGTAATCTACTGCAGGGACTGGACGCATTTCTACCTAAAGCCGCTGGTTTCCAAGATTCATTTCTGAATCTCTGGGATCATGTCCATTAAGCAGTTGAATCAGGAACCAAAGAGGCCTTACCTCCAATTATATAGCTGAGCCAGAGGTGGTTTGTGGGTGTGTTTCCCACATACCTAACTTTTGGCCGTTTTCTTTCTTGGTAAACTTTGCCCCAAGTTTTTGGGGTCTGGCCAAAGGCACAGCAGCAATTTTGGGGTATCTGGAAGTCTGAAGGCACCATGAGGCTGCTGATCCACTCGCCTCACAGGTACAGATTGACCTGCTGGCGGCACCATACCCCCATTTAGTCCTTCTTTTAAGGTTAGTTTTGAGTCTATGAAATTCTTGAGCTGTTATTTATCCATGAAATAGTGTATCATTCCTTCAATTTTGTGTGAGAGTTTAACCAGATAAAGTATTCTTGGTGAGGTTTTCATTTCATTGAGTGTTTTCACTATGTCCCACCACTGTCTTTGGGCTCGGATAATTTCCTCTGATAAGTCTGCTGTAATCTAAGGAATACTTCTTTGTATGTGATTTCCTTCTTTGACCTTGCTGCTTGCAGTACTGTGTCTCTATCTGTGGTATTAATCATTCTGATTATGATATGTCTTGGAATCTTTTTAGTAGGGTCTCTTTTAGCTGGTACCTTTCAGGCTTCTTGGATATGAACTTCTCAGTAATATCTTTAAGTGCTGCAACTTCAGTGGGGTTTTCTCTCTGTCCTTCTGGTACTCTGATGATTCTTACGTTGTTCCTCTTGAATTCATTTCCTAGGTCTGATTCACTCAAGCACTATTTTGAGGTCTTTTTCCATTATATCGTGTTTCCTGTAAGCTTTCTACAGCTCATCTTCAAGCTCACTAATTGTTTTCGACTACTGTCATTCTCCTATTGAGGACACCCACTGAGTTTTTAATTTCACCTACTGAATCCTTTATCAGTGACACTTATGTTTGTAGCTTTCTTATTTCAGCTCTGAATTCTTCCTGTATTTTGTTGGCTGTTCATTCCACTATTTCAAATCTTCTTTTAATTTACTGGATACCTGCTCCACCGTTTCTTTGAGCTCAATGAATATCTTCAACATTTTGTCTCTGAATTCTTTATCAGAGAGATTGTATTTGTAGGTGTTCCCTATTGAGGATTCAGGGCTCTTTTCTTCATCCACTCCTCATGGTCGGTTTCTTTGCTATTTCTTCATGTTGCTGTAGTAGTATGGAGGTGGGTCCTCCCAGTTCACTATCAGTGACCCCCTTTGCAACAAGGCAGGATTATAGATGGGCTCAGTGGGTAGTGATCTCCTTTCTCTCCTTTAAGAATACTACCTATCCGGTGCTCCCCTGTGCCTTATGTGTGGCCACAAGTGCAGTTTCAGGGTATGTGTTCTTTTATATTAGGCTTGTTCAGATTCTTGTGTTCACCATTGTTTTGGTGAGTTTGGGAGTATTTTGATTAGAACAGACTAGTGGACTATTGGCCTAATGTGTTTGGGACAGCCAAGATGTCCTCTTCAGAATTAAGTAAGAGAGGCTGAGATGTGAATCCAAAGTGCTGGGAAAAAGGCTACGCCCACCGCATTGCTGTACCTTTGGGGAGGGGCTGCTTCCATGCCTGCACAGGATTTGCAGCTCACTTCTGACGAATTCCTAAGACTTGCAGGGGTACCCTTTGGCCAAGTGCTCAGAGGGCACTTCAGCCATGAAGGGGGCTTTTCAGGTCTCAGGGTCTGATGGATAAGCATTTTTATATTGGTGAAACTATAAATACAAAATGTCATCAACAACAAAAAATAAATGTAAAAAACTGTGAAAGACTAGGACAATGAAATGCTGTACAGATAAAATAACTCATCTTTCTTATGTTCATGATATATGCACAAGAATATAAATGAACTTCAAAATCTATGCTGAACAAAAATAGTAACTGACAGAAATCCATGTACAATATTTCCTTTACATAAACTCAAACATAAAATAAAAAGCACAGAAAATTGAATAATGATTTGTTGTTATTTAGGTCCAAGGTTTTTATTTTGATAACTTAAAATTCAGCCAAGTTAGAATAGAGTGACTAACAGGTTAAAGTTAAAATCTTTTCTTTATTTGCCATAAACCCCACTAAATACATTAAGATTCAAAGGTAATCTTATAATTACTTTACCTATAGACATTAAGTAAACATTAATTGATTCTAACAAGTTTCAAAAACTTGCTTAAAACCATGTACTCATCGATGGACATAGAGAGATAGTATAGCAGTACAGGCACTTACCTTGCATGCATCTGACCCAGGTTCAAAACAATTCTTTGAACCCAGCCAGAAGTGAACCCTGAGCGCAGAACTAGGTGTAAGCCCTGAGAACTGCCAGGCATAGCTCTCAAACAAAACAAAACAAAATTCAAGTAATTATGTCAATACTAATAAAAAAAATTTCAATTGTATCATACTTTTATCAAGAAGTTTCACTTTGTCATTTACCTGAAACATCACAAGGTTTGTGAGATTGCAGAAAATGTTGGCTCTTTAATTCCTGTCTATATATAAGATGTAGTTTGTTGTGATCATCTTCATTTTCACTCCCATCGGCCGTCATTATAGGTTCCAGGAAATATTCACCATCATGTGCTCTAAACGTTCCCATCTACAAATAAATAGAAATTACTTTTTCACTAAGGAGAAAGTACACTGGGTGACAGGTTAAAATGAGCATACAGAGGCAAGAGCACTTGAAATTTGTTCAAAAAACATCAACTAAACAGTCTCCTTTCCATGTTACTTTTCTCTCTTCACTCATAAGGATTAATGAAGTTCAAACCGTATTCTAAATGACAAAATAGAGATGCTGGGCATTCTAGCTATAGGCAGAGTATCAAATTAAAAAAAAATGTAGCACACTCTAGAAATAGTGTGAGATTTAAAAGGTATGCTAGGACCTAATAAATATCTTAAGTGTGATGCAAATTACTTATTTAGCGTCTATTTGTAAGCACTAAAGAGTTTACTGAAAAGTTTTTACAAAGACTTTTTAAGTAAAGGATCCAATATCCAATCTACTAATTTATATTTCCACTTTAAACACACACACACACACACACACACACACACAGTAATATTCTCATTCTTAATTCTGACCCAAACCTGAAATTCTCCTTATTGCAAAAAATACTAAATTACTAATAGGTCAAAATCTATAGAGAGAAATCAAGACAGAGCTTTGATTCGAGGTCCAACACTCAATCCACATGATGATTGAGCACTGATGACTCAACCTTTAAGGAGTAACCAAAACCCAAATATTTCATTCAAATTTTACTAATACATTCATGATACAACCTATCACTCTATTTCCTAAATTAAATAAATACTGCCTGTAGTTAAGTCTCTATAGAGAAGACAAGTAATTTGCTTTAAGAAATACAGACCATGTTGTCAAAACAAAAATAAAAACAAACTAATGACTTTTCATGTCACTCTATAGAATCCAAAGTCCTTACAGTTATCTATTGGCATCCTGTGTGATCTACCAACCCTTTCTACCACCCAATTTCCAGGCACACAGACCATCAACAGTTCTGAATTCACCTCGTCCAACTTAGGTGTATTTGCTGTTCCTCAAATATAACTTACTCCCCAGAGAACCTTTACACAGTCTAAACCTTCAAGTATTTCCCCTTGATTACTCTCTATACATTATCTCAGCTTTCAATTTAACATCCATCACTTTATAAAACTATCACCCACAATCCCAACTATGTGTCCTCTTTACCTGACTTCACATTTTGATTGCATCTTTATGACTTGATATATTTGTATTTGTAATTCGTCTGATATGAAAAACTAAAGAATAAGTCTCATGAGAGTAGAGCTTTCTCTGTAAGCCTCATGCCTACTACATACCAGATATTGGATAAATCTATATTAAATGAATTGATAATACTCTAACATATAAAATAAACTTAAATGCAACCACTTGTTATGTTTTTTAATAGTAAGAGTCTCAAAATGAACCTATAAATGAAGAACAAAATACTAAAAAAATCCCAGAGATTTTTGACATAGGCAAATTGCTCTAAAGTTCATAGTGAAAAATGAACATATAATTATTTTTAAAATAGTGGGGCTGGAGCAATAGTACAGCAGGTAGGGCATTTGCCTTGCATGCGGCAGACCTCAGTTCGATACTCAGCATCCCATAGGTCCCCTGAGCACCGCCAGGAGTAATTCCTGAGTGCAGAGGCAGGAATAACCCTTGTCCAATGCCGGGTGTGACCCAAAAAGCCAAAAAAAAAATAGTAAGCATGGCCTAGGAATACAAAATATTAAAACATTGTAGAGACTTTTTATTTAGGGGTTAGAGAAATAACACAGCAGTAAAGGGCTTGCCTTGCATGTGGCCAACATGAGTCTAATCCCTGCCACTGCATATAGTTCTCTGACACCATCAGGAGTTGATCCTTGAGCACAGAGTTAGCCCTGAGCATTGCTGGGTATAGCCCCAAAATAAAAAATAAATAAAAAATAAACCCCAGATCCTTGCGCATATAATGTACATGCCCCTGATACCTGAGATAACTTGTCAGTTCCAAGAATAATGAAAATCCATGTATATTAATATTAGTCTATTAAATTTTTGTATGCATGAGTATGTGTGAGTATATGTGTATATGTGTATTTATATGTTTGTGTAGGTGAGTATATGTGAGGTATGTGTGTAAGCTTATGTATAATTATGCGTATATGTGTGGGTATAGGTGTATATGTTGTATGTGTATTTATGTGAGTTTGTATGTGTATACATGTGTGAGTATGTGTAAGTGCATTTGTGTGTATATATTTGATTGTGAAAATGTGTATGTGTATACAATTATGTGTGTATATTTATATGTGGCTGGAGAGATAGCACAGCAGGTAGGGAGTTTGCCTGGCACGTGGCTGACCAGGCCAACCTGGGTTCGATTCCTCCAGCCCACTTGGAGAGCCCAGCAAGCTACTAAGCGTATCTCACCTGCACGGGCAAAGCCTGGCAAGCTACCTGTGATGTATTTGATATGCCAAACACAGTACCAAGAAGTCTCACAATGAAGACGTTACTGGGCCCACTCGAGCAAATCGATGGACACCGGGAGGACAGTGACCCAGTGACCCAGTGTATTAAATTATGTCAAAATATATAATTAACATACATTATTCATGTATTTCTTGAAAATTTTTATAAAGGTCCAATGGCTCTAGTATATTTAGCTTTATCAGAGCCTATATTCCAAAAATAACTACAAATCACTTGTTTACAATACTTATCTAAATTCCAACTTTCTGTGTCACACAAAAATAAATATTGATAAAATTAAAGATACTGGTTTCAAAACTTGAGTAAGAGAATACACGGAAAAATCATTCTCTTCATTTTAAAATATCACACTGAAGAGAAGAAATGTGATAGCAACTTGGTAAAAGATACAAATAGACATGAGGTAGCTAGTTACTTATCTAAATGCATCTACAATAATACTTGAAATATTACACTAGAATGCTAAAAATATTCATCCCTTAAAATGTTTATACTTCTTTTAGTGAAAATCTGACTATGGAAACCTCTATTATAATGATCCAATAAAACCCACATAGATTCACATGTATTGCCCAATAAAGTGAGCAAAGTTCATCCTGACTTTTTTCAAGCAGTAACTAGAGAACACTCTAGTCTGCTAAGAATATAACTTTTGTAACTCAACTCAATCTCTTTAGTAAAATATGTTATAAAACACTAAATTCAATAAGAAAATAGAAAATAAATTGTTTTCAAGTAACTTCAATATATTTATCAATAAAGGTCTTAGAATATTTTACTGCCACCAATTTTTCTACGAGTCATACCACTGCAGAGGATTTTGTTCAAATAATAAAGCTACTGGAATTTTGCCTAAAAGTTTCTAAGAGGGCAACTTAAAACAAAACTTGAGAAGGAATATGGTAAGAACTGGAAGATCCAAAATGTGCTAAAATGAATTATACTTAGATTTTTCCATATTTTAGCAACCTAAGCTTGAAGATAGGCACTGCAATTGATTCATGAAAAGGCCAATCAAATTCCAAACATTTTATTTTAATTGCTAAAAGCAATGAAACTAGTTTTCACTTGAACAAGGATTTCCACTTAGACAAGGGTTTCTCAATCACTTGAAGCAATAATTTTCATTTGTCATGCTGTTTTGAAAGACAAAATTATACAACTGGTTCTAATTGACTCTCATTGGACAAAATTTTTATATGTTTGGGTAATTTCTGTACAATTCATTTTCTAAAATGTGCTTATTTCAGTCTTATAGCAAAATATGCTTTTTTCAGTATTATGGCATATATTTTTTTCCAAATGCAGAGCTAACACATGTACTGAAGTCAAACCAGAATGTACTGTCTTGATTCAGGTAAGGGTTAAAAAAAATGGAATAGAATATAAACCATTTGGACTAATTTCCCAAATCAATTGGTTAAAAACTTGCTACCAGAGAACTACATTCAAAATTTAGGTAAAACTGAACAAGGCAATTAGATACCATGCTAAGAACCATTCCATTTATAAATTATTCCCAGTATTAATAAAATCTGATTTTCTTTTTTTTCTTAAATTTTTATTAGTGAAATACCATGAGGTACAGTTGTAGACTTACAAATTTTTGTGCTTGGGTTTCAGTTATACAATCATCGAATACCCATCCCTCCACCAGTGCCCATTCTCCAACCACCACCAGTCCCAGTATTCCTCCCACCCCCCATCCCCCCATCCCACCCTACCTCTTTTGTTATCTCTCTCTTTTTGAGTGCTGTGGTTTGCAAAAGAGACATTGAGTGGCAATCTTGTTCGGTCTATAGTCTACTCTCATCACGCACGTCCCATCCTGAGAGGAACCTCCCAACACCCTTTATTTGGTGTTTCCTTCTCTATCTGAGCTGCCTTTTCCCCTAAAATTCTGATTTTTCTTTTAAGGGCTAAATGACTAGCAATTATTACCAAGAAAACTCCAGTATTTGGTTTTTTATCTTTAATTACAGGTCACTGTCACTGTCCTCCCGTTGTTCATCATTTGGTGAAAATCAGAGTGACCCTATTAATAAGAGAACCCAAATATAAAGAATTGGGTTTGCAGGAAGATTTAACCATATTACTTTGTATTCTACACTCTTAGTTACATGACTTACAAAGCAAAATAAAAATAATTCATCTTAAATTTCTGAGCGATAGCACAGCGGGTAGGGCGTTCGCCTTACAAGCGGCCAACATGACCGACCCGAGTTCGATTCCTCCGCCCCTCTCAGAGAGCCTGGCAAGCTGCCGAGAGTATCCGATATGCCAGACACAGTAACAACAAAGTCTCCAATGGAGACGTTACTGGGCCCGCTCGAGCAAATCGACGATCAATGGGAGGGCCTTTTAAATTTCTGAGAAAAGCAATGTGTTATAATGATGTCAATAACTATTTTTGAAATTGAATGTATTATGAAGTAAGAAGTAGGGAATATCTGCTTGTTACTTCATAATTCCAGGTAAAGCTATTCTGGCTGACCTCATTGAGCCTACTCAAGAACAGGAGGCAGAACCCCTCCATTCTGGTTTGGTCCCAGTAGCATCCACACCTGACCAAC